GTAGTAGTCGTCGTCGTCGTCAGTCTTATGTCGTATGTCGTAGTCGTCGTAGTATTGGTGGCGTGGTCGTGGTAGTGGCAATGGTAGTGGTAGCACCAGCAGCAGCAGTACTAGCACTAGGCACTAGCAGTAGAGGTAGTGGTAGCGGCAGCGGCAGCAGCCTTAGCCGTAGCCGTGGCCACAGCCGCACCAGAAGCAAAAGCACTAGCACTAGCATTAGCAGCAGCAGCAGCAGCAGGAGCAGTAGCAGTAGGTAGCAGTAGTGGTAGAGTAGTCGTCGTCGTCGTAGTCGTAGTTGTAGAATGGATTAGGAGTATTGGGAGTAGTACTGGCATTAGCGGTAGAGGTGGAGGGTTGTGGTAACTGTAGCGGTAGCGACTGTAGCGGCAGCAACAGCAGCAGCAGCAGCAGCAGCAGCAGCAGTTACAGAAGCAGGTTCACCAGCATCAGGCGTTGAACTCATAAGGACCACAGAACAGGACAACTGAAACAAGACGGCACTGAAACTGCTTGGACTGCAGAGTTTCAGACCGCCTTGCATGATACGAACACCGCACAGTGGCATCCAGATAGCACACGCTGCAGAGACTGATAGAGGATTTTGTGTGAGGTCACCAAAGAGAACGGTCAACTGGTTACCAGCAAGTACAGCCACGGAGCAGTCGCCAGGACTTGCAAGAAATGGTTCGCAGCCGGGCCGCCATTTGTGCAGATGCTTTGCAAACTTTGCGTGCTTGTCAGTTGCACCGGGTTTGCCGCTAAACGCACGGGGGCAGATAGGGACGTGAGTTGCTCGAGATAGCAAAAATATGTCTGCCCACTGCGCAACGGCTCCTGTCAAGGTCGACCATCATCACGGCGCAGTTGAAGGCCGAAGTACTTTGAGTTGGCGGAGCATGCGCATGAAGTATCACCCTTTGGATCCCGTACTAGTACCCTCATTTGCTACAACAGGGAGTGTCGTGCCAAAGCCCTACGACTCCAGTGCGGATGCCGAGGCTCATGGGGGCCAAGAATAACTGCTCGCAAAGAGAAAGGAGAGCAGTCTGCTTTGCATCGGAGGGCTCTGTCGCCACCCTTTGCAAGTCCAGTGCGGCCCGGCGTGTGCAGAACTCAGGGAGCAGAAGCGAGACAAGCACGCACCCTTTCCACTTTGAATGTCCGGATGTTCGCCGCGTTAGCCGCTGAAGTCTGGAAGACCAGAGTCGCCTCGCCTCGCCTCGACCAGGGCCAGTCCGGGCTCACCGCTTCCAGGATTGATCCAGGCAACGGCCTGCGAGATCCCCGTGACTCCGTTGTTCCTCATGTTCCCGTTTCAGGATCATCGGCGTCTCCGTGCGGTTGCGACACCTCTGCGAGCGGAGGTTAGCACCGGAATCACTGCGAAGCTTCTTCTCCATGTGCCCGAAGCTGCTGGCTTCTTTGAACAGGGGCCACTTACTAGTCTTATTGATTGTGGACTTAACACGTTCCAGTTGCTCAGCAGAAGGGCGGTAGTGCGGCTTCTGCTATGCACGGACCCCCTTCGCAAGATCCTTATTTCTCCTTTCTGCATTTGCATCGCGACGTTAGTCCAATGGATTGAAGCCTTTCGGAAAGTGAAGCTTGCCTCTCTTCACACACGCGACACGTCGCTTGCGAAAATGATGACAACACACAGGGTCGGGGAAAGGGAGTGTCGACATGAGGCACTTGTGGGATGTGTTGCCAGAACTGCCATCCCGAAGCCTCTCGCATCGACATAAGTCATGTGACCAGACATGGCTTGGACTCGTGGCCAAATTAAGACAACATGAACAAAACGTTTCTCATAACCCACCCTCGTTCGCAGGAGCAGTCTGGGGCCTGGTCACGAGAGCCTGTGCCTCGAGTGTAGACGTGGACGCACCAGAAGAAACAACAGAACGTAATTCTTGGAACGACCATTGCATTGCATCTTCACGTTACGATCGACGCGTAAGATAGACCGTCCATCAAGGTCAGTCATGCAACTTTGCAGCGAGGGAGACGAGGCCGGTCACTGAGTGCTTACAGCTTCTGCTG